GCTCTGCCCCTGCCCAGGCCTAACGCCTCTGGCTGAGGCATTAGCCCTGGGCAGGGGACCCCCAGCTCCCTGCGGTTGCAGGCTCTGCCCCTGCCCAGGCCTAACGCCCAGAGGCGTCCGGCCCAGGCAGCGGGGACCCGCAGCAGCAGCGGCCCGCGATCGTGGGCTCCATTTGAGGCCCAGGCAAGGGAACCCTAGCTCCCGGGACTGCCAGCTTCGACCCTGCCCAGCTCCCATCGCTGGCTCCACCCCTACTTCCTGCTATCACTGGCCAGGGCGGAAAAGGTACCTGATTCTCTGATCATGGATGGGGGGCAGGGCAAAAGAGGCCCTGGGTTTCTGATCACTGTCAGTGGCAGGGGGCTTCTTCCTGCTTTCCCTTTCGCCTCCCTGCATTGTGCCTACATATGCAAATTAACCGCCATCTTTGTTGTCAGTTAACTGCCATCTGAGTTGGCAGTTAATTTGCATATAGCCCTGATTAGCCAATGAAAAGGGTAGCATCGTATGCCAATTACCATTTTTTTCTTTTATTAGTGTAGATTGTGAGAGGAAGGGTGAGAGAAGAAACTTCAAGTGTTGCCCCTGCATACACCCTGACTGGGAATCAAACCTGCAACCTGGGTATGTGTGCAGGAATGGAACCCACCAGGTCTTGGTGTACAGAATGATCTTCCAACCAACTGAATCACATTGGCCAGGGCCCCACCTCACTCTTCCTACTGCCCCTGACACTTCATCCTTACTCACCCAGACTCTCCCAGGACACTGAGCCTTTGCTACTTCCTGCCAGAATCTGTTTGGCTGCAGTTCACTAAGGCACTGCCCTGGGATGGAGGAGGCCTCACCACTTGGCTTGGTCAGGTTTGAATTCCTGAAAGCTTCCTTGAAGAGTGGTCTCACTCCTCTTAACCAGATTCCCAGTGCTAGCGGGAGGTCAACGTTAGGAGTGTCCCCTGCCAGGTTGCCAGCTAGCAAGATTTGAGGACAGTTTTTTCTCACAGCAGGTGGCTGGTGGGACGAGGGAAGGCTGGTCCATCTCTCTAATCTGGTGGGCATGTGTCCCAGAAAGACGGGGTGTGTGACCTTAGTGAGGTCCTGGAAGGCCAGCTTCCCAAGGTCTTGCCTTGGCAGCCAACCCAGCACTCCTAGACCAGGAAGAGTTTGTGGTCATCAAGATGGAGGAGGACAAGGCGGCTTCATGGCAACCTGAGTTCCTCTCCAGGCCTGAGCCCCCAGAGCTGACTCCTGGGCTCAGTAGGGATCCCCACTGTGCTTTCATAGCTTGTGCTACAAAGAGGCCATGGGACCTCTGAGAGGCCCTGACCAGCCTACATGGGCTGTGCCACAAGGATCTGTGCCTGAGGTGCACACAAGGAGCAGATGCTGGAGCTGATGTTGTTAAAGCAGTTCTTGGATGTACTTACCCCTGACAACTGGGTCTGGGTGTAGTTCTAGAACCCCAAGAGTGGCAAGGAAGCTGTGGAGCTGGTGGAGAACACTGTTCAGATTCTGCAGGAGAATGGTAAGCCCAGGTCCAGCGCAGGTCAGCAGGCCTGGGGTGGGGACTATCAAAGGGACACACCCAAAACCCTGGGTCCTAATTCCTGCCTCTCAGCCCAGGCCCACCCTGTTGTCATCACTGGGAATGGACTCAAAGCTTCATCACATTTGGAGCTTTTATAGCCTCTAAGACTTACAGCTAGAGGTTGGCATGACATTTCACCCCCTACGTGCACTGGGCCTTCTTTCTCTTCCTCTTTTTCCTCACAAGGTCCTTAAGTGTGTGTCATATGCCAGGCCCTATGGGTGCAGGAAGTAGGAGTCAAGTAAAGTCCCTGCCCCATTGGTGTCTAGTCTGTGTGGAGAGTTGGACAAGGACACTCTCAGCCAGTTAGGGTGTCTTGTTTTCCATGGAGGGGTGAGGGTGAAAGGAGGTAGCACAGAAGTTGGTGACCTTTTCACCTTGGACTCCACATGTGCCTGTGAGGAGCTGACAGCTGTGAAATGGGCAGGGGAGATGGTCACCCTGTTATTTGTGCACCCCTTTACTTACTCCACATATCTGCACCATGTCTTGTGTCTGTGTGCCCCTATGTATGAAAAAAAGAAAACATTTACTAAGCTATAATTCACATACCCAGACAGTGTATAATTTGTGGGGGATAATAGACAGTATTCATAAAGTTGTACAACCAACCCTATTGCCATAATTTGATTGTTTCCAAAGAAGCACCATACCCAGGAACCCTCACTCCCCATTCTTCCCCCTTTTAATGTCTACTAATCTACTTTATGTCCATGGATTTGATCATTCTGGGCATTTCATTGAATGGAATTATACATTAAATGGCTTTTTATGACTGGTTTCATTAAGGACAGTGAGTGCTCACTTAACTGTCCTTAGGTTGTGTGATTGTAAGGTAATAAAACCACTTTACCACAGGCCAATTGATATGAATGAGAGTTAATATAATTTGTGTTACAGTGAAACAAAGTTGAACAAAACATCATTTGAAGACCTGCTGCACGATGAGAGCACCTCACATGTTCTTATCTACACTAATAAAAGAGAAACATGCAAATTCATGTCACTCCACTACCCTTCCCATTGGCTAATTAGGGCAATATGCAAATTAAGTGCCAGCCAAGATGGCGGCTGGCAGCCAGGCAGCTTGAAGCGAACATAAGGCTTGCTTGCTTCAGTGATGGAGGAATCCAACGTTACCCGCCTGTCACTGAAGGCCTCTGAGCTTGCAGTTTGAAACATTGTTACAAATATAGGAGCTAAAGAAAACCCCAGAAACCTGCTTTCAGCCAGCCAGGATCTCAGAGCTTGAGTTGAAACAGTGTTTCGATTATAGAACCCAAACAAACCAGATA